AGACGGTGCGTGTTTTTTGTTTTTTTTGTTTTATTTGCATTATTTATCTACCAACAACACAGTGCTATTCATTATGTACGCATACGTGAGTGAATTAGTTAAGTGCCCGTAGGCTGGTGTTTGTATGTTTTTACCGTTATAGTGCATGCACATTATACAACACGTGTTGGCTACCGTAAAAACGCGAAAACGCTCGCACGCGCATTAAATTATCTGCGTGATATAAGAAATTGCAATTTGTAGTCGACACGGTCGGCACACTGAAGTCGGCTCTCGACAATTTGCAATTACGAACTCTTAACTATTTGCTACGCTTTAATTATGTTTTGTAATTTGCTTTCATTACGTTTTTTAATTAACTTTTTTTCTTCTCTTCCATATTCCTTTCATCTCTTGCAACACAYAAATTTCTTACCTYTGTGTGCATGGCTTTTGCACCATGCCTCACGTGCAACAACTCATGGCTAACGTTTGCTACACTTGACATTTCCATTTCCTCTACCTACTAAACACGCATATCCGGTTTGCTGGGAATGAATTTCTTCGGCGCAGTGCCGCTGATGATGGCCTACGTAACGCGCTATATCTACGGCACGGATAAGTTACGCCCCAATGCGTTTGAAGTACGCGGCCTTAATGGCGCCTCGACTGGCATAATACACTGTGATGATTTGGCCATTCTCAGTCAATGGCTTAAATTGATAACCGATAATGTTGTTGGATTGACACATTTACAAGTGAGTATTCGTATATTTAAATAGAATCAAAGCAATATATTTATTTGTATATCTATTTATATATTAAGATTTTTGTCAGAATATTTTTAGTGGGTACTATAAATAAAAAAGTATAATAGTTATATAACCTGCAATAAATATAATTATGTTTGGAAAATTTAACAGTAGGTTTTTTYAAATATGCGTATATTCTCTGAAATGTTTTACCTTTTTTTGGCTACTTAACTTTGCAACTTAGATGTGTATCAGTCATATTGGCCAAATCCCATTTTAATTCCGGGGTTATTAATTTCGAGATTACCTACCTAAAAAAAACATAAACTTCAAATTTAATRRGGAATGTTATTATCATTCAAAATAACATGCTTTGGCATTTATTTTTTGAAGATTAWTTCTTTCAAATCTTGGCCGCGGCTACGTCTCACATGGTCTATCAGTTGAGTCCAATTTTCGRAGATTTGTTCGAGCATTTCAACAGGTAACTGACGAATGACATGCGTGMTGYTTTGCTTGAAGGCCTGAATCGAAACGGGATTGTCCGCATAGACTTYAGAATTTGCCCAAAAGAAAAAGYCYAACGATGTRATATCACACGATCTTGTTGACCAATTGATCGGTCCTTAATAAATCCATTGATTGATATGATGTGTGTGAGATCACGATCTTCAATTTCAGCCATCAAACAGGCATCATATCTGAAGATATATGGACCGATGATTTAACTGGCCCACAAACTACACCCAACCGGTCTTTGTCCCAATTGCGGTAATTTTGCTTGTTTTCATACGAGGTGTGTTCAAAAGTATCATTGGCTCTGTAGGCCAATGACCCATATGTTGTCTTAGCATTTTAATTATCATAATTTCACACTTAGACTACTATTCGGCCATGCCAACCTAGTTTCGCCAACACTCAAGCGCATTGTTCGCGCCATCAAATTAATTAGCTTAATTGCTAGCATAAAAGCTGAAAGCTGAAAGCACSAAAGTCCAGACTTGCACTAGATACYCTGTATAGCTCACAAATACCATTTCAAAGTATAATCAACTTAATCCACTACAATGAGACAAAAGGATTCACGTGGCATGAAAGCAAATTTATATAAGCGCTCCAAGCAGCAGTGGTTGATTGCAAAGTGCCAACGGAAGCCACGGATAAAGGATAAAAAGCAACCGATTCACCACGCGAGTATATAAAATATGCTAACGAACTCAGCGGTATATATGTATGTATGTATTGAAATCGGGATCTCTGAAGGGTGATAGAAACTCAAATAATGACAGGGATAAATAATAGCGATGTGCTAAAAGTTTAACGCAAAGTATTGAGTACAAAAACAAGAAAAATCAGAAAATCATGAATACATCGATGGCATGAATCGCTGTGTTATGAGCGCTGAGACGCGTGAATACAAAGCGGCAAGGATCAACTTTCACCTGCGCGATTTGTGGTCCCTTTGATGAGGAAATAAATCAACATGGTTGCCACAGAAGTGTCCATATGCATRAGTGCAACAAAGTAGATGTGTATAYACATWTATTAAAACAGGGTGGTTCATATGAAAGTCTAGTTTTAAGAATATAAAATATATSAAATTTAGATTACTAACAGCCTACTGGAAATAAAAAAAGTCTGAGTTCGTTGATAACTGATTTCTTGCAGACATCTCCACTCCGAAAAGCAGTTTAAAAAATGTGGCACTATTTTTCGCCAATTCGRTATACCAAGTGCAACCAGGTTCTTTCCACCCGATATCTCCACGAAGTCGAGGTCTTTCTATTACTCYGGTTCCACCTTTGCTTTTTTCACGAGTCTTTTCMATGATTTGRCGCRTAGTGAAAATGGATTATAGAGTTCTTCGCCATCGTTGAATATCGCCGGTAATCTGTCTGCTCCTACTGCTTTGTTTTTCCTCAGACTGATAAYTGCTATTCGAACCTCATCATTGTCGGGCAATGGAACATCTCTTCCATCGTCTTCACTTTCGGGTTCGGGTTCATCATCTTTAGTTGTTTCACTGCCATTCAGCAGCTGGAGAAGTGTGCCCTCCATAACTCCAGTATGTTCCGAACTTCAGTCACTAGATCACCACTCTGGACCCTATAAGAGTCCGGACTATAAATCTTCCGTTAGTCGCCGCATCTTTTCGTAGAATTTTCGAGCATTACCGCTGTCGACCACCTTATCAAGCTCTTCAAACTCACGGCCTTTAGCCTATTTCTTTTTTGTCTGCATATGTGTTTCGTTTCTCTCTTAAGACTTAGGCTAGCTATTTTCTCTCCACTGCGAACCAGCAGTCCTCATTGCACSTATTCTTTCAAWCTTTACGAAAACCAATGGTTTCAGAGAAAGGAGTGGTTTCGACTAGACGAGTAGTATAAAGATTTGTATAGATTTGTTTATCAAGCCGCTTGTTTCAAGACCGACACCCGCTCACAGCCGTACCTCCAGTAAAGGAGTGACTCCGCTGAGGCAACCTCTCTTTTAGCCGTAATCCCARGCTTCTCACGGATTGGCTACCACATCCTACACAAGGGTTACTCACGTTTCCAGGGTACACTGTGAGGACACAAGATTATGAATTGGGTATAGTCCTACCACTTACCCAGAAGCAACAGTATACWACATTACACGCCCATAGTATTGCAATAATTCATACCAAATTTTACGAAGATCACTTGATCACAGTGAGAATGTTTTCTATAAAAGCGTTGAGCTCTTTCGGTAAAGTGATGGCAGTTATAGGCCGTAGTTGGCCAATATCGACGCTCCTGACGAATGAGCAGCTTATAGTTGAGAAAAGAAAAATTTCAGATCGTTATCTTAAAAACTGGGGCACTAGTGCGCATATATACAGAGGGATGTTTATGGAGTCCAGGACCCGAAAACAATTTCCGAGCGAAATCTTTTGAAAATAACTTTTTGATATTTCCCACCCTGTTTGAAACCTTGGGTAATTGATTTTACCCCAATGAAGCTAAACTATTTAGTTCCTTTCGAAAAATAACTATCACGATAACCACCATATGGGTCACCTTACAAAATAAACAAAAGCCCCCCTTTTTCATTACCACTACGATTTTACCAAAAAAAATTGCAACACGATTTCAATTTATCAATTTTGAATTGAAAATATAAACACCAACATCAATATTTTCCGCGCTCAATACTTACTTTGAAGTTGAAAACAAAATTCAACCCTGCTGAGTGGCCAACCGGTCACAAACGGAAGTACCGGAAATGCAGCAATTCCGTGCAAACAACACATACGAGTGTACGCGGTCAGGAGGACAATCACCAGCCCATCGTTTTTTTACACCATTGCTCTGCAACAATAACAAAAATATACAAAAGGAGTTGTGAAACAAACAAAAAGTTGGTGAGATAGAGAATCATAGCAATGAAAACCACATATCGAGCAARTGGAAGGAAGAACTGAAAAATTGATCATAAATAAAGCAGCAAATATCTGGCTTACCAAAGCAATGACTATTTGTAAATCAACGCTTTAATTGCTCTTGTTGAAGTTAACGATGAGACTCGCTCTCTTGGGGGTGAAAGTGKTTGTAAAGGGATATGAAGTCGAATGTTACATGTTAAATATATAAAAATATTCTAAAGTTGTGGCTGTTACTATGAAATATGTTGTAAAGTTGTTATTTTGCTCAATTGATCAATGGCATATAGTTGGACTGCATATAGTTGTTTCTGATTGTAAACTTGAAATTATATTCATAAATTATTAACTGAGTAAATTCGAGCAAAATTTCAACACAACAATTCATAAGATTGAGGTACCTGAGGAACAACGTTTGCAAATTACATAGGTTCAAATCGATATCTTAATACACATATGTTTCGAAGTTAGACCTACTTAATTAAGGCGCGTTAGATAGAGCTTACAGCGAGCGTCACATTTATCACAATGGCCCACACCATAAATTGCTCTCTCATACAGTCTTCTCTGAATCTACTCTCCATGAATCTTTTTCAGTTTTTAGTTTTTATTTGCTTAGGAAAAAGCCTATTTGGAAACAAATATGTATTTCAAAAACGAAAATATATTAATCGTTGATCTAAGCAAAAGTTTCTAAATCTATATAATTTTAAAATTTTTCATTTTCTTTCCATATTATTTCACCACAGATGAAGCTTTATAATCGCAACTTTGCCGTAGGCGAGCGCATAGAATACATGGGCTGGGTGAACGAGGGTGTTATTAACAACAATATCTCCTGGCAAAGCTACAAACCACGTTTTCTAGTATTAAAAGGCACTGAAGTGATGCTTTTTGAGACACCACCGGTAAGTACAAGGTTGTTCAAAATACAAAACCTAGTAACATACAAAAAGTGGCATTCAACTATAAAAACTAATTAAGGCGCTATAATGTGAAAGTTGTCTGACTATATGATATTTGGACATTGAAAATATTAAAGTTTTCAGTAAACTTTTTTTTAAAATAACATGCATTGAGCTCTGAATCGAAAATATTGATTTTTTCATGCAGATTATAAAACTTCTCAATTTTACTTCAAAAATATATGGCAACTCGTAAAATAACTATGCTTAGAAGAAATTTGATTCTGATTTGAAGTTTGGCTAATTATATATTGGCTAACTATATTATTCAGGAAGAATTTAACTGAAAATTACTTTAGGAAAAAACTCAAACAGGTGGCAACCTTCTAAACGTTTTTCTGACTCACCAAAACGAAGAACTGTTACAATGGGAAATATTCAAAATTTTATACAGATTATAAAACTTCTCAATTTTAATTTAAAAATATATGGCAACCCTTTAAATAATACTTAGCAGCAATTTGAAACTGATATGAAGTTTGGATAATTAAACTACATTGTTCAGGAAAAATTCAATTGAACATTATTTTACTAAAAAATTTAAACAGGTGGCGAATTTCTAAATTTCTTTCTATATAACCAAAATGAAAAACTGACACAAAATTTGGAATAATTTAATTTATTATTGACGAAAACATTTATTTATTATATTTTCTATATGTTTTAAACGGGTGGCAGCCCTCTAAGCTATCTTTTTCCTACCCGAAAAATTATTAGTCTAAACCTGATACCAAATTTTTCGAAAAATATTTATTTTTAAACAGGTGGCAACACTCTAACTTTTATTTTAATTATTAATGATTTGATGATGATGACGCTTTTAAAAAAAATTATATTTTTCAAAAAAATTTAAAACAGATGGCAACACCTTAATTTTTTTAATGATTGGATCTAAACAAACTTTTTAGGCTTATTATTATAAGGTACATTTAATCTAGTCCTTTTCATAATGGTATAGAATTGCAATATATATATGCACAATTTGGAAAAAGAATCGGACCAAAATTAAATTTTCTCGAACTAAATTGCTTTTGATTGAAACGCTCAAGTGAAATTAAATGTAAAATTTAAGCTCCACTGTTTGTGCAAAATTATTTCGCAGAAAGTAAAATATATTGATAAAGGAAATGATTGACGGAATCTAAGAGTGTTCCTAAATATTCAAATGCACATATGTAATATAGAAGTATATAAATGCACATCTACAAACTATCCGCATCGTCATCAATATAAAATGACACAATTCTCGCAAATATTGAGTAAGGACATGCACACACATGCGCTGCCACTTGCAATAACAAAAACAAATATGAATTTCCATATTGCTGATACATTTTGCGCTGCGCGTTGCGAGCATATGAAACAGGAAGTGAATTCCAAATAACAAWTATGACAGGCAGTGCATTTTCGCGCCGAACAATTTACGTGTTCTTGACAGCAACAAATCCGATAGCGTTGGCAACAAAAAGTACAAATGAAACAAAATAAGTGAAAAAAAACGAACAAAAAGTGTAAAAGATATCCGCTCTGGACAACAAAAATGATAAAAAGCTGGATAAATGCAAATTTCGTCCTCAAAATGCAGCATTCTATACTTACATACCCCGACATCGAACATATGTACAATAAGGTAGCGCAGCTAGTGAATCCGCTGGCCGCAAGCGCTATAGCTTCCGGTGAATTTGATAACTTCCAATTTTATACGCTTTAGTAAGCATGAATTTGCATTTTTTATTTCTTTTATTTCTACTCACTTCCGCTTCATTTTACCAGCGAGTCATATTTTTTTAATTTATTATTGCTTATGTGCAGCATTTGCATTGCTTCGCCAGCGATAACCGCAATTGATGCGAAAATTGCTGTGAAATTTTTATTCTTATCAAGATGAAATGCGAAATATCAATTTTATGCATAAAATGTACAATTTAATTAGACTTTATTATTGACAACAAAGGCATTGAATATCTAAAATAACATTGGTAAATGAGTTAATACCTAAAAAATATGCGGATAGCCATGCATAAATATTAGGCAGACGAGCATATTGTGTATACATATACYACTTATATACGTGCAAAYGGATTTATACTTGCGTAACATGTTTCAAAGAGTATACTATTCACTCAAAGTGCAATGGTTTTATCACCTAATGGTATTCGATATAGATTTTTGCATATATAAATGATCTGGATGCCAAAACATGCTAAATTTCATCGATCTCTCCGTCAGCCTGTGTAAACGATAACTTGAATAAAAAAGTTGAGCTTTCTTAATGAAACTTGGTAAGCGGATTTTTGGGTACTGAGAGAAGCTGAACATATTTTTCAAATTAATCTTTTACTTGACAATAAAAAAATTAAGCGTCACTGAAGATAGCGGAGAAAAACTATGTAGAAATAGTACATTCAATATGTAATATATTTCTCTWTCTCTACTTAAGGGGGGAGCCTGCTTTAAAGCCTTCAAAAAATCGTTTATTTCGAAGACTTCTCCGGGAGGGAAAGATATAAGTGATTTAAGCGAAATTTCTCGAATTTATAGTTATATATTTAAACATCATTCTCAAAGGTTTTGGTTACGAAATCATTGATATACTGCCTTTAGGAAGCATTTGCCCGATGCATCTCGCATGTGCATTTGTCGGACCGCAGGCAGAATTCAGGTCGCAATTTCTATCGGAAACAAAAAATTTAAAAAAAAACTCATATTTTTCAATAATTTATCTTCTAGTTAAACTAGAAAAATTACAAAATAAAATGTAAGACTTTTCAAATTTTTTAAAAATTAGAAAAAATGGTTTTTGACTAAAAAAATTTTACTTTATGTTGTTTAAAAATATGTTCAAACTCGACTTTTCTTAGTTTTTTTTAGATTAAATAGAAGATAATTTAATGCTAAATATAATAATCTTTGCCCCCAATTCCATACCACATTTAGTTTTTTTCCACTCTGCCCGACAAATAAAAAAAATCGTAAAAATGAAAAACCGAGAAATCGCAGGCCAAAGTTTTCGGTTTTTGATGAATCGCTCGTAAATCTGCTAGGCGTTCCGTCACTATTTCCCTTCTGGTTTCAAAAATATTTCGAATTCTCATCTAAAACTTTGGGGACATATTCTTAGATTAGTTTTAAAGAGATTTAAGCAAAAAACAAAAGTCGGTACACCTCAGTAGTTCGTTCCGACTTTTAAAATGGATGAGAAAATCGAGTAAGGAATTTGTCTTAAATTACTACTACTTAAAAAAACGTGAAGATCGTGGCTGCCGGGTGATTATCTATGCAGACGATGTGCCTTTTGTGATCAAAGGAAAGCCCCTGAGAATTGYTTACGAATTGATACAGAAATATCTCAGCGTCGCAACAAATTAAGTTGTCGTAATCGGTCTCGGCATCCATCGAAAAAAAACCGACATGGTTTAATTCCCTAGAAGGTACAAGATCTTAGTGACACCGCTGACGCAAATGGGAGACATCCGTCTGCAACCAGCAGATACAGTCGAATATCAAAGAGAGAGCATAATATTGCCTTGTACTCCTTTAGAAAAGCAAAAGGTGGGTTCACTCACTGAAAGTGGTCCTCTGGCTCTACGACACCATATCAAGAGGAACTTACCTGGTAGCGCATACCTTCARACATCTCACCGAGCTGGCGGAAATGGAAAAAAAACGACTGTGCAAGTTTGTATTGGCTAATAAGCGTTTAAGTAATTTATGAGTTCGAACAGAGGAGTTCTTCTTTTCTATGGCCTYACAAAGGACTACTAAATATGAAAGAAATCGAGTTATAATTTTGGACTCAAGAATATTAAATTCTCATATACCTTGTTTTCCAATACCCAAAAATATTCCCCATCATCAAACACTGAAAACTGGCGTAGTACAAAATTTTCGGTTACATGCGAACTTAGCTCTCGCTCACTTCTTTTATTCAATTTATTGACCCAAATGCCTTTTCACATTCATTCATAACTTGAATTTCAAATTTGTGCACAAATTTGGGCCAAAGTAATGCACAACCGCAAATGAAATGCAACTGTGCTGGTACACACATATATGTTTATAGTATTTGCAAGCATATGAAACTCATATACCACATAGTATATGTATGTGTGTATATATTTGAAATTTTACAAGTTAAATATAAGCGAGTGCGTACATTAATTAATGAATGAGCGTGCGGCTGCTCATGCATTTTGTGCACATAAATTGAAAAACATATGCATTCGACTAGTGTATTAATGCAAAGCATACAAATAAATACATACAATTACACATTAATGTGCTACGAGGCTGTTGCGTCAACACACACCACTCATACGCCACGTATTACCACTTGCAAATGTTGCTCATTAAAAGTGCACACCATACTCGTCAACAAATTTTAATTTATATAACTATTTTTTTTTCACATTTCTGAATGAGTTTGCTTGCTTTCAACATAGCATGCAGTTATGCATAACACACACTTAGTAAAGTGGCATTACGCGGACTATTCAAAGYATGCAACAACAACCCCTTTCTGTGTTGCGAAGGGGTGCAAATATTATATAATGTAATATACTTAACGAACCAACAATTGCTAATTTAAAGTTGAAAATAAGCATATTCACATTATTGCAATGTAAATTACCAGTTAGGTTGAGATATATTTAGAACACGTTAAATTTCTTCAATATTAGTTACTATTAAAATCACTGTAATTGTATTATTTATTTAATATTATTTCACCAATTTAATGCCTTCAGAAAAATATATCTGGCAGTTTTCTTAAGAAAAATATGTCTAGTTTTCTTTGAGAGTACTAAATGKTTTTGTTGGCAGTTAAAAAAATCGTAGCATACTCTAAGGCGTTACACTTGCTGTTTGCAATTACTGGCGAAAAATACAATGTAGTTAGCCACGCAAAGCAGAAAATTAACTAATGCAAATAATAACGATAAAAA